CTCTCTCAGGCATGGCCGCCCTATCCACTGGGACAACCACCAAATCCAGCGCCACTCTCTCAGGCATGGCCGCCATATCCACTGGGACAACCACCAAATCCAGCGCCACTCTCTCAGGGATGGTCGACCTATCCACAGGGACAACCGTCAGCTCCTATCTTGGCAGCACCCTCTCGGAATCGTCACCGTGAGTGGAGACTGCGAAAGACAGTACTTGAGGATCAGGAGCGTGTGGCTAAAGGGGAACCGCCTAAAAAGCGGCACTACAACGAAGGCTACCACTATCAGTGTAAAGACTGTGGTCAAGCAAAAAACAAACTTTCTGGCCATACCCAGTTGAGAGGGAAATGGTACTGTCCCGAATCTGGGCAAACCATCACAGAGTGGAAAGCCACCCTTTAAAACTGACTTTGTGTGCCACTTTGTTCAATAACTAATTTTTTATATGTTACTAATGTTTATACGTTACTGATGTTTATATGTTACTGATGTTTATACGTTACTGATGTTTATATGTTACTAATGTTTATACATTACTGATGTTTATATGTTACTGATGTTTATACATTACTGATGTTTATACGTTACTGATGTTTATACGGTACTGATGTTTATGCGTTACTGATGTTTGTATGTTAAATCTGAGCTTATGTAATAAAGAGGATTTGGGAAAACAAGTGTGTCTTTCATGTTGATCAAGTATTATTGGTATATCTGTTAGGGATGAGCTTGTGGGGAATTTAACTGTGACATCCTGGAGAAAATGACGTAAAAACAAGTTAAGATTTTTAACTGTTATTAACTGTCATTTTTGAGAACACTAGGATGGATAGATAACATTTTCACTCCTCCCCTCTTTCCCTCCCTCTTTCCCCCATTTCCCCCCCTTTTCCCCCATGCCTAGCAGTCCCTTTTGCCCTGTTTTTGGCCAAGTGGTTAAGGCGATGGACTAGAAATCCATTGGGGTCTCCCTGCGCAGGTTCAAATCCTGCCAACTATGTGTGAAGTTTGGTTTGCCGTTCAGACAGGACAGTACTTGGCTAGCATTAGTGACAATCTTCTGTTCACAGTTGTTACATACCTACTATTCTACAGAGAATTTGCCAATTGAACAAATGCAATGCTTTTCATTCTGAGTAACCTGAGTCCGGTGTCATTCCAATGAATGTTCAGGATCTGCCCAGCATCAAAATGAAAAGGAACAATAGCTCTGATGATAGTTCATGTGAAGAAAAAAACAAACAAACACACAGTTGGCAGAATAAATTTCACCAAATTCACTGGGAACAGTTCAACTAAATCTGTATGAAGTGAAAAAATGTCACCGTTTCAACATTTCATATTATTGCTGTCACTGAAAGGTATCAAGGCTTTCAGAAAATCACATTAAAACTGAAGTACATGTGATACAATTGGGGTAACATCCAGAGATACATTGCAGCAGTCACAGAAGACAGTAAAGTCAAATACACAGATGAGACTGCCCCAACGAGAAGCACTTACGAATGTAATGCAAATCAAGTTGCTCCTATATGAAGTAATCGAATTGTGATTTCTTTTAAAAGTATTGGATATTGTCCAAACTGTTTAACGTTTAATACATTGTAAACAAAAATATAGTATCTTTAGTTGATTGAATCACCCAACATCACCCCAACAAATAGTACTTACCATTCAGGAAGGTCAGAGCCATTGATAGGATATCAACGGTGACAATAAGACAGATAGGTGGTCTACTTCTTTGCATCTTCTCCTGCCATGTTTACCATGACAAATGTAATCACTGCATGCCTGCTTTCCTAGAAGTTGTCCACTGATAGTTTACATTTACATTTACATTTATTCACTTAACAGACGCTTTTATCCAAAGCGACTTACAAATAAGCAAAGCGATATATCAAGCAGGGACCAATACAAGTAGTGCTACTATACAAGATCCATTAATTGAATACCAGAGGAAGCAAAGTGTACAGAGTAGAGGTGTAAGTGCATTGTCTGTGTTTTTTTTTTTTTTTTAGGAGTTGGTTAGGAGTCATTGGAAAAGGTGGGTCTTTAGCTGTTTTTTGAAGATAGTGAGAGATTCTGCAGTCCGGATTGAGGTCGGAAGAGCATTCAACCACTGGGGAATGGTATGCGTGAAGGTTCTGAAAAGGGACCTTATGCCTCGCTGAGTGGGAACTACTAAACGTTGGTCGCTAGTTGATCGCAGATTGCGAGAGGGAATGTATGCCTTCAGAAGAGAGCTGAGGTAGGAGGGTGCTGTTTCTGACAAGGTCTTGTAGGTGAGCATCAAGGCCTTGAACTTGATGCGGGCAGCTACAGGAAGCCAGTGGAGGGAGATGAAGAGGGGTGTGACATGAGTAGTCTTGGGCTGGTTGAAGACAAAGCGCGCTGCAGCATTCTGAATCATTTGAAGGGGTTTGATGGAGCTGGCTGGGAGGCCTGAAAGCAGTGAGATACCTTGAAGGATCTGTCCGAAAGATAGGATTCCACCCAGCGTAGAACCGTTCCAGTGATGCCCAGGTTGGAGAGAGTTGATAGGAGGATCTGATGGTTCACAGTGTCGAAGGCAGCAGAGAGGTCAAGTAGGATGAGGACGGTTGATCTAGAGGTTGCTCTTGCTAGTCGTAAGGCTTCAGTGACGGAAAGCAGAGCAGTCTTCGTGGAATGGTTGCTCTTGAAGCCAGACTGCTTGGTGTCTGGGAGGTTGTTCTGTGTGAGAAAATTGTAGAGTTGATTAAAAAGGGCTCTTTCGAGAGTTTTGGAAAGAAAGGGTAGGAGGGAAACAGGTCTGTAATTGTCAAATATAGAAGGATTGAGTGATGGTTTCTTAAGCAGTGGGGTAACCCGGGCTTGCTTAAATGAGGTAGGGTATGTGCCAGTAGAGAGCGATGTGTTAAAGATGTGTGTAAGTGCAGGTAATAGTGTGGGAGAGATGGATTGAAGAAGTTGAGAAGGGATAGGTTCAAGGGGACAGGTTGTGGGACGGCTAGAGAGGAGGAGTTTAGAGACCTCAGTCTCTGAGAGGGGAGAGAAGGAAGTCATTTGGGAGGTACATGGAGGAGGAGTTGGTCTATGCATGTCTGGGGTTGAGAACTGGTTCCTAATTGATGTAACCTTGCTGGAAAAGAAACTTGCAAAGTCATCTGCAGTGAGAGAGGTAGGGGAAGGGGGAGGAGGGGGACAGAGAAGAGAGGGAAAAAGTTTTGAAAAGAATGCGGGTGTTGGGAGAACTACCAATCTTATCTTGGAAGTATGTGGTTTTAGCAATGGAGATGCTTTTGGAAAAAGAGGAGAGAAGTGTCTGGTAATTGGTTAGGTCAATTGGATTGTTTGATTTGCGCCATTTTCTTTCAGATGCTCTTAGTTTATTATTATTATTATTATTAGTTTGGCCCGGTTGCTACGCAGAGCTTCTGAGAGCCAAGGACTAGAGGGTGATGTGCGAGCAGGTCAGGAGGTTAGGGGGCATATGCTGTCAAGAGAAGATGTTAAGGTGGAACATAGCATGTCGGTTGCGGTGTTTACGTCAAGTGAGGAAAAGTGGTTGTTAGAGGGAGGTAAGGTTGTGACAATGGAGGAGAAATGTGAGGGGGAAAGGGAGCGAAGATTGCGATGAAAAGAGATGGAAAGAGGAGACAGTGAAGGGGGTGAGGGGAGAGAAATAGAGAACTGGATAAAGAAGTGGTCAGAGGTGTGGAGAGGACTAATGAGAAGATCGTGTGTGGTGCAATTACGTGTGAGGATGAGGTCAAGCTGTTTGCCGGCTTTATGGGTTGCTGGTGTGGTGAGCTGCTTGAGGTCAAATGTGTGAAGGAGAGCAAGAAAGTCAGCTGCATGTGGTTGTCTAGATGAATGTTGAAATCACCAAGAACCAGAAGAGGAGTTCCATCATCTGGGATGGTGGATAGTATTCAAATTCATCGATGAACTTCCCAAGATGACCTGGAGGACGGTAAACAACAAGAAAGTCCATTTTTCCAGGGTCAGTGACCATAACAGCATGAAATTCAAAAGAAGTGTATGAGCAAGAGGGAGAAAGACAGGTAAATTTCCATGTTTTGGAGAGAAGCAAACCTGTACCACCCCCTCGTCTGTTGGGGCGTGAGGTATGGGAGAAGCTGAAGTTGGAGACCAGGGCAGTTTACCAGTTGACCACTTTTTCATTCTGAGGGGCCTGAGTCAAGTGATGTTCATTGCAATGCTTGGAGTCTGATCATAAATTGAGATGATTCACAGTCCAACCCACATGTGATGATGGCAGATCACTCCTTGTGAATGAACCAGGTCATTCACACGGTGACAGGCAGTTATCACGCTAGGTTGAGAGTAGGTACACAGCCAAATGATGCTCTCACTGATGTATTAAAAAGTATTGCTCTAAGAGATTTCAACACATGTTTCACTAAATATATGTGCAAGAATTTTAATAGATATTTATAAAGAGAAACACTTTAGTTAGAATCTCAACAACAATGAATGTGATTATAGTTTCACACTCCACATTCGTGGTGTCCAAATTCACTGAAAGTTGCCCCAGCTTGTTAGCACTTACTTTAAAACTGCAGTAAATGCGCTACAATTAGGGTGACTTTCAGCCGAGAAACATTGCAGGACTCACACAAAGTAAGTAATGTCAAATACACAGCTGAGACTGCCCCAAAGTGTAGCACTTATTGATGAAATCAGTGCTTCTATTTCAAGTAATGTAATGGTGTTTTATTTGGACAGTATTGTCTGTCAAACTACGAATGAGAACTTGCATTAAACCTGCATTAAAAGTCTTCTTGATTCAAATCCAGACTGTGCACAGCAGATTGGCAGTCCATCAACTTAACCGATTGCTGACATTTTCATTGTCGGCTTTTCATGTTTCTCCACCCACACTTGTTCTGTCTCATGGATCTGTCCAGAGCTTGTCACCTGTAGGCCTTGTATGTGTGAGACAGACTGCACCCCAGCCAGAGGTTGTTGTAAAGTGGAGGCAAAAAACCTGCCTGCGATGAGGGTGGGACTCGAACCCACGCGTGCAGAGCCCAATAAATCAGCAGTCCATCACATTAACCTCTCGGCCATCTCATCCGAAAGCCCATTCCCAGATCCTTGGTTAGAAATGGCTTGAAAAGGCTTGAAAAGACACTTGGCCAAGGAGTTGCACTTAAGCCTTGTCTTAAGCTCCATTCCTGGTAAGGCTTGTAAAGACGCTTGGCCAAGGAGTTGCACTTAAGCCTTGTCTTACGCTCCATTCCGGGTAAGGCTTGTAAAGACGCTTGGCACGTGGGAAATGACCAAAACATAAATGAACCAAGGAATTGCACTTAAGCCTTGTCTTATGGTTCTTCCGCGTGATGTGCAAAAGAACAGAGCGCCGGTGTTAGCAAACAGACTCCCCATCAGGGAATCGAACCCAGGTCTTAGGTGTGATAGGCGGAGAAACTGTCCACTATACTAACAAGGAAATCATACACACGCTTGGAAAGACGGTTGGCACTTTGGATAGCATCAAAACATAAACGATAAAAACATAAATGATCCAAGAAATTGCACTTAAGCCTTGTCCCGTGCCCCATACCCGTGGAGGCCAACAGAATATGGCACTGGACTTGAACTGCACTGGGGCTTTACCTGTGCAAGTTGAAGCCTGCTATGAACCTGTCTTAATGCAGAGAATCTTTTTGAAGATGAGCAACAAAGCACCTTGGCATTCATCAAACAAGCTCGTGCCAAACACATCTTCCATCCTGGGAAATTGCATTGACGTAAAGGAAGTCAAACGAATCCTGCTTTGAGACAATGTCCACTGTAAAATGCGCTACACAAATAAAATTGATTTGAACTGAATAGAATGTGTACATGTAAACTTGTAAATGGTCTAGTTACTTAATTGAAGTAAATGTATTGAAGAGCGGCAGAAACATGAGAATATAAAGATGCACAAACAGGTTTATTATCTCCAGAAAAAATAGTCTAGTGTTTCCTTAAATCACTTTGCCGCTTTGCTTGTGTATAGCAAAATTCGAATAGAAAATCGATCTCGTTTGCTGGCTCACTTGTCAAAGATAACTATAAAATAATTTATATTATAAAATACTATTAGTAACCCATAATTGACTAAATGGTGTCGCGCCACAGTATCTAAGTGACCTTTTGTCTATGATCCGCCACGCCTACTTAGATCAAAAGATGCAGGCTATTTGTTCGTACCTCGAATAGCGAAGGCTACAGCAGGAGGATGAGCTTTCTCTTCTGGAGCCCCACACTTATGGAACAGTCTTCCAATTAGAGTTCGGGACTCAGGCACAGTCACAGTGTCTAGGCTTTAATCGTATTTGTTTAATCAAGCCTACCCTGACTAGACTTTCTCTTATGCTAAGCACAGTCCTAGTATTTTTTTCTCTCCCTCTCTCCTTCTGTCGAGCCACACCCGATTTTATGGAGATACTAGAGATCCTGATCCTCTCTGTTCTCCGGACCTACCTGATCCATTTTGGATGGCCTACCTTTGGATGGAGCTCTCATCTACTCCAATTCCAGATTGCTGGGACTACAGCTGCTTCTAAGGCCAAATAGACTCCATATGAATCCATAATCATCTTTTTCACACTATCTGATTTTACCCAGATGAGGATAGGTTCCCTTCTGATTCTGGTTCCTCTTAAGGTTTGTTTCTCTTAACATCTTAAGGAGTTTTTCCTTGCCACCGTCACCACTTAGTGGCTTGCTCAGTTGGGATAAATTCGCAACTTATATGTCGATATACCGAATGGATTTATAGATATATATGGATTAAGCTTTGCTTTACCTTCGATAGCTCAGTTGGTAGAGCGGAGGACTGTAGGTGCTTAAACTGGTCATCCTCAGGTCGCTGGTTCGTATCCTACTCGCAGGACGGATTTCTCTGTGTTTCATGGTTTCTTTTTAAATGTTAATTTGGCCAGCGGTGGATAAAACACGATTCCCTGACCTGGAATCGAACCTGGGCCGCTGCAGTGAGAGCGCCGAATCATTATCACTAGAAAACCAGGGACGAAAACCAAGAAAATGGTGGCCTCTACACTAGCTATGCTGGCCAGTGTCTTCCATCAAATGCTCATAGAAAGGGCACATGAGCATCAGCACAGGACAATGGAGCAGTAAGAAGGTGGCTTGGTCTGAGGAATCACGTTTTCTTTCACATCATGTACAGCTTAGGGTTGGGGTTAGAAATGGCTTAAAAAGGCTTGAAAGACGCATGGCCAAGGAGTTGCACTTAAGCCTTGTCTTACGCTCCATTCTTGGTAAGGCTTGTAAAGACGCTTGGCCAAAGAGTTGCACTAAAGCCTTGTCTTACGCTCCATTCCTGGTAAGGCTTGTAAAGACGCTTGGCACGTGGGAAATGACCAAAACATAAATGAGCCAAGGAATTGCACTTAAGCCTTGTCTCATGGTTCTTTCGCGTGATGTGCAAAAGAAAAGGGCACTGGTGTTAGCAAACAGACTCCCCGTCGGGGAATCGAACCCTGGTCTTCCACGTGACAGGCGGAGATACTGTCCATTATACTAACGAGGAAATCCTACTTACGCTCGGAGAGACGGTTGGCACTTTGGATAGCATCAAAACATAAACGATAAAACCATAAATGATCCAAGAAATTGCACTTAAGCCTTGTCCCGTGCCCCATACCCGTGAAGGCCAACAGAATATGGCACTGGACTTGAACTGCACTGGGGCTTTACCTGTGCAAGTTGAAGCCTGCTATGAACCTGAGTCTTAATGCAGAGAATCTTTATGAAGATGAGCAACAAAGCACCTTGGCATTCATCAAACAAGCTCGTGCCAAACACATCTTCCATCCTGGGAAATTGCATTGACGTAAAGGAAGTCAAACGAATCCTGCTTTGAGACAATGTCCACTGTAAAATGCGCTACACAAATAAAATTGATTTGAACTGAATCGAATGTGTACATGTAAACTTGTAAATGGTCTAGTTACTTAATTGAAGTAAATGTATTGAAGAGCGGCAGAAACATGAGAATATAAAGATGCACAAACAGGTTTATTATCTCCAGAAAAAATAGTCTAGTGTTTCCTTAAATCACTTTGCCGCTTTGCTTGTGTATAGCAAAATTCGAATAGAAAATCGATCTCGTTTGCTAGCTCACTTATCAAAGATAACTATAAAATACTTTATATTATAAAATACTATTAGTAACCCATAATTGACTAAATGGCCTCGTGCCGCAGTATCTAAGCGACCTTTTGGTTTTCTATGATGCACCACGCCTACTTAGATCAAAAGATGCAGGTTATTTGCTCGTACCTCGAATAGCGAAGGCTACAGCAGGAGGATGAGCTTTCTCTTCTGGAGCCCCACACTTATGGAACAGTCTTCCAATTAGAGTTCGGGACTCAGGCACAGTCTCAGTGTCTAGGCTTTAATCGTATTTGTTTAATCAAGCCTACCCTGACTAGACTTTCTCTTATGCTAAGCACAGTCCTAGTATTTTTTTCTCTCCCTCTCTCCTTCTGTCGAGCCACACCCGATTTTATGGAGATACTAGAGATCCTGATCCTCTCTGTTCTCCGGACCTACCTGATCCATTTTGGATGGCCTACCTCTGGATGGAGCTCTCATCTACTCCAGTTCCAGATTGCTGGGACTACAGCTGCTTCTAAGGCCAAAGAGACTCCATATGACTCCATAATCAGCTTTTTCACACTATCTGATGTTACCCAGATGAGGATAGGTTCCCTTCTGATTCTGATTCCTCTCAAGGTTTGTTCCTCTTAACATCTTAGGGAGTTTTTCCTTGCCACCGTCACCACCTAGTGGCTTGCTCAGTTGGGGGATAAATTCGCAACTTACATATCGATATACAGAATGGATTTATAGATATACGTGGATCAAACTTAGCTTTACCTTCGATAGCTCAGTTGGTAGAGCGGAGGACTGTAGGTACTTGAACTGGTCATCCTGAGGTCGCTGGTTCGAATCTGGCAGGACGGATTTCTCTGTGTGATATGGTTTCTTTTTAAATGTTAATTTGGCCAGCGGTGGATAAAACACGATTCCCTGACCGGGAATCGAACCCGGGCCGTGGTGGTGAGAGCGCCGAATCCTTACCACTAGACAACCAAGGACAAAAACCAAGAAAATGGTGGCCTCTCCACTAGCTATGCTGGCCAGTTTCTTCCATCAAATGCTCATAGAAAGGGCACTTGAGCATCAGCACAGGACAATGGAGCAGTAAGAAGGTGTATGCTGGAGCAGTAAGCATGGAGCAGTAAGAATGGTATCATGTACAGCTTAGGCTTGGTGTTAGAAATGGCTTGAAAAGGCTTGAAAAGATGCTTGGCCAAGGAGTTGCACTTAAGCCTTGTCCCGTGCCCCATACCCGTGATGGCCAACAGAATATGGCACTGGACTTGAACTGCACTGGGTCTTTACCTGTGCAAGTTGAAGCCTGCTATGAACCTGAGTCTTAATGCAGAGAATCTTTATGAAGATGAGCAACAAAGCACCTTGGCATTCATCAAACAAGCTCGTGCCAAACACATCTTCCATCCTGGGAAATTGCATTGACCACTGCAATGTCTACTGTAAAAAGCGCTACACAAATAAAATTGATTTGAACTGAATCGAATGTGTACATGTAAACTTGTAAATGGTCTAGTTACTTAATTGAAGTAAATGTATTGAAGAGGGGCAGAAACATGAGAATATAAAGATGCACAAACACGTTTATTGGCTCCAGAAAAAATAGTCTAGTGTTTCCTTAAATCACTTTGCTGCTTTGCTTGTGAAGAGCAAAATTCGAATAGAAAAGCAGACTAAGGCGCTGCGGTCTAAGGCACTGCGTTCAGGTCGCAGTCTGCCCTGGAGGTGTGGGTTCAAATCCCACTTCTGACTTCCCACTTTTGGTTCCTTTGCTGCACCTCTGATGGGGGGGTATTGGGCTGTTCCTGAGAGTAGTTGTGGCCGAGTGGTTAAGGAGATGGGCTAGAAATCCACTGGGGAATCCTGCCAACTAAGTTTGGTTTGCCATTCAGACAGGCCAGTACTTGGCTAGCATTAGTGACAATCTTTTTTTTTTTTTTTTTTTTTTTTGAATTAAAAATTTTTTATTTTTATTTTTTTTATTTTTGGTGTTTTGTTTTTTTTTATGTTTTGTTTTGGTGTTCCGGGGAATAGAAAAAAACAAATATTATTACTCTTTTTATTTTTGAAAAAAAAAAAAAAAAAAAAAATGCTTTTATTTTATTTAATTAAATTCATTTCACTCAAATCAATTAAATTTTTTATCTCAAAATAAAAAAAAATCACAACTTATCATTATTTTTTTTATTTCTTATTAATAAAAAAAATCAACACAAAAAACAAAATAAATATCACCAACATTTCTTAAAATTTTGGTAACAACCAGAGATACATTGCATGCAATCACAGAATACAGTAAATTTCATATTATTGCTGTCACTGAAAGGTATCAAGGCTTTCAGAAAATCACATTTAAACTGAAGTATATGTGATACAATTGGGGTAACATCCAGAGATACATTGCAGCAGTCACAGAAGACAGTAAAGTCAAATACACAGATGAGACTGCCCCAACGAGAAGCACTTACGAATGTAATGCAAATCAAGTTGCTCCTATTTGAAGTAATCGAATTGTGATTTCTTTTGAAAGTATTGGATGTTGTCCAAACTGTTTAACGTTTAATACATTGTAAACAAAAATATAGTATGTTTAGTTGATTGAATCACCCAACATCACCCCAACAAATAGTACTTACCATTCAGGAAGGTCAGAGCCATTGATTGGATATCAACGGTGACAATAAGACAGATAGGTGGTCTACTTCTTTGCATCTTCTCCTGCCATGTTTACCATAACAAATGCAATCACTGCATGCCTGCTATCCTAGAAGTTGTCCACTGAGAGTTTACCAGTGACCACTTTTTCATTCTGAGGGGCCTGAGTCAAGTGCTGTTCATTTCAATGCTTGGAGTCTGATCATAACTTGAGATGATTCACAGTCCAACCCACAGAAGCCAATGTGACAATAGAAGTGATGATGGTAGATCACTCCTTGTGAATGAACCAGGTCATTCACACGTTGACAGGCAGTTATCACTCTAGATTGAGAGTAGGTACACAGCCAAATGATGCTCTCACTGATGTATTAAAAGGTATTGCTCTAAGAGATTTCAACACATGTTTCACTAAAGATATGTGCAAGAATTTGAATAAATATGTGTAAAGAGAAACACTTTAGTTAGAATCTCGACTACAATGAATGTGATTATAGTTTCACACTCCACATTCGTGGTGTCCAAATTCACTGAAAGTTGCCCCAGCTTGTTAGCACTTACTTCAAAACTGCAGTAAATGTGCTACAATTAGGGTGACTTTCAGCAGAGAAACATTGCAGGACAAACACAAAGTAAGTAATGTCAAATACACAGCTGAGACTGCCCCAAAGAGTAGCACTTATTGATGAAATCAGTGCTTCTATTTCAAGTAATGTAATGGTGTTTTATTTGGACAGTATTAGCTATACCCGAGCATGGTCGACGACGCTCTAAGGCGCTGCGTTCAGGTAGCAGTCTCCCCTGGAGGCTTGGGATCAAAACCCACTTCTGCCATTTGGTTCCTTTGCTGCACCTCTGTTGAGTCTGTTTCTGAGAGCTTGTTAAAAGAAATGCATAGCTTTTTGGCAAATCTGCATAGCTTTCAGACAGTTAGTCAGGATGGTTGAGCGGTCTAAGGCGCTGCGTTTAGGTCGCAGTCTCCTCTGGAGGCGTGGGTTCAAATCCCACTTCTGACATGCACTTTGTTGAGGGTCACTAAAACCAATCATAATGTAGTCCCTCTTTGCATGCTAAGATATTTAAATAGATCACCTGAAAGCTCCCTGCATATTGTAGATGCTTACAAACAGTTTGAAGCTTCTTTTTGCCACACTGTGGTTAATAAATGTTCATTGCTGCCAATTCTAGGCTTCAAATGATAGCACAGGCTTGATTTCATGGCACTGTGCGTAGACGGTTGCCAAGGGAACCAACTCCGCTGCTTTGTTGTGGTGTTGCCGAAATACCGGAGCAGGGTCCCAAAGTGAAGCCGATACATTTCTGAAACAAGGTGCATGGAAATACGTTCAGACTTTTTATGTAGATGTGGCCGAGTGGTTAAGGCGATGGACTTGAAATCCATTGGGGTCTCCCTGCGCTGGTTCAAATCCTGCCAACTACGTCTGGAGTTTGGTTTGCCATTCAGGCAGGCCAGTATAGGGAATAGCAATGGTGACGATCTTCCTCAATGAAACTTCATGTGCATTAATTGCTGTTCACAGTTGTTACATACCTGCATGAGAATTTGCCAATTGAACAAATGGATTGCTTTTCTGAAAGATATCAAAGCTTTCAGAAAATCACATTAAAACTGAAATATATGTGATACAATCGGGGTAACACCCAGAGATACATTGCAGCAGGCACAGAAGACAGTAAAGTCAAATACACAGATGAGACCGCCCCAACGGGAAGCACTCATGTATGTATTGTAAATCAAGTTGCTCCTATTTGAAGCAATCGAATTGTGGTTTCTTTTGAAAGTATTGGATGTTGTCCAAACTGTTTAACGTTTAATACATTGTAAACAAATATATAGTATCTTTAGTTGCTTGAATTACCCAAAATCACCCCAACAAATAGTACTTACCATTCAGGAAGGTCAGAGCCATTGATAGGATATCAACTGTGACAATAAGACAGAGAGGTGGTCTTCTTCTTTGCATCTTCTCCTGCCATGTTTACCACAACAAATATAATCACTGCATGCCTGCTATCCTAGAAGTTGTCCACTGAGAGTTTACCAGTGACCACTTTTTCATTCTGAGGGGCCTGAGTCAAGTGATGTTCATTTCAATGCTTGGAGTCTGATCATAACTTGAGATGATTCACAGTCCAACCCACAGAAGCCAATGTGACAATAGAAGTGATGATGGCAGATCACTCCATGTGAATGAACCAGGTGATTCACACGTTGACAGGCAGTTATCACTCTAGATTGAGAGTAGGTACACAGCCAAATGATGCTCTCACTGATGTATTAAAAGGTATTGCTCTAAGAGATTTCAACACATGTTTCACTAAAGATATGTGCAAGAATTTGAATAAATATGTGTAAAGAGAAACACTTTAGTTAGTATGTGATTATAGTTTCACACTCCACATTCGTGGTGTCCAAATTCACTGAAAGTTGCCCCAGCTTGTTAGCACTTACTTCAAAACTGCAGTAAATGTGCTACAATTAGGGTGACTTTCAGCAGAGAAACATTGCAGGACTCACACAAAGTAAGTAATGTCAAATACACAGATGAGACTGCCACAAAGAGTATCAGTTATTGACGAAATCAGTGCTTCTATTTCAAGTAATCTAATTGTGCTTTATTTATGTACAGGGAATAGCAATGGTGACAATCTTCCTCAATGAAACTTCATGTGCATTAATTGCTGTTCACAGTTGTTACATACCTGCATGAGAATTTGCCAATTGAACAAATGGAATGCTTTTCATTCTGAGTAACCTGAATTTTCATATTTCATATTATTGCTGTTGCTGAAAGATATCAAAGCTTTCAGAAAATCACATTAAAACTGAAATATATGTGATACAATCGGGGTAACACCCAGAGATACATTGCAGCAGTCACAGAAGACAGTAAAGTCAAATACACAGATGAGACCGCCCCAACAGGAAGCACTCATGTATGTATTGTAAATCAAGTTGCTCCTATTTGAAGCAATCGAATTGTGGTTTCTTTTGAAAGTATTGGATGTTGTCCAAACTGTTTAACGTTTAATACATTGTAAACAAATATATAGTATCTTTAGTTGCTTGAATCACCCAAAATCACCCCAACAAATAGTACTTACCATTCAGGAAGGTCAGAGCCATTGATAGGATATCAACTGTGACAATAAGACAGAGTTTACCACAACAAATATAATCACTGCATGCCTGCTATCCTAGAAGTTGTCCACTGAGAGTTTACCAGTGACCACTTTTTCATTCTGAGGGGCCTGAGTCAAGTGATGTTCATTTCAATGCTTGGAGTCTGATCATAACTTGAGATGATTCACAGTCCAACCCACAGAAGCCAATGTGACAATAGAAGTGATGGTGGCAGATCACTCCATGTGAATGAACCAGGTGATTCACACGTTGACAGGCAGTTATCACTCTAGATTGAGAGTAGGTACACAGCCAAATGATGCTCTCACTGATGTATTAAAAGGTATTGCTCTAAGAGCTACCAACACACTGTTTCACTAAAGATATGTGCAAGAATTTGAATAAATATGTGTAAAGAGAAACACTTTAGTTAGAATCCTAGACTACAATGAATGTGATTATAGTTTCACACCTCCACTCGCTTGGTGTCCAAATTCACTGAAAGTTGCCCCAGCTTGTTAGCACTTACTTCAAAACTGCAGTAAATGTGCTACAATTAGGGTGACTTTCAGCAGAGAAACATTGCAGGACAAACACAAAGTAAGTAATGTCAAATACACAGCTGAGACTGCCCCAAAGAGTAGCACTTATTGATGAAATCAGTGCTTCTATTTCAAGTAATGTAATGGTGTTTTATTTGGACAGTATTAGCTATACCCGAGCATGGTCGACGACGCTCTAAGGCGCGCTTAAGGTTGCAGTCTCCTCTGGGCGTGGGTTCAAATCTAACTTCTGACATGCACTTTGTTGAGGGTCACTAAAACCAATCATAATGTAGTCCCTCTTTGCATGCTAAGATATTTAAATAGATCACCTGAAAGCTCCCTGCATATTGTAGATGCTTACAAACAGTTTGAAGCTTCTTTTTGCCACACTGTGGTTAATAAATGTTCATTGCTGCCAATTCTAGGCTTCAAATGATAGCACAGGCTTGATTTCATGGCACTGTGCGTAGACGGTTGCCAAGGGAACCAACTCCGCTGCTTTGTTGTGGTGTTGCCGAAATACCGGAGCAGGGTCCCAAAGTGAAGCCGATACATTTCTGAAACAAGGTGCATGGAAATACGTTCAGACTTTTTATGTAGATGTGGCCGAGTGGTTAAGGCGATGGACTTGAAATCCATTGGGGTCTCCCTGCGCTGGTTCAAATCCTGCCAACTACGTCTGGAGTTTGGTTTGCCATTCAGGCAGGCCAGTATAGGGAATAGCAATGGTGACGATCTTCCTCAATGAAACTTCATGTGCATTAATTGCTGTTCACAGTTGTTACATACCTGCATGAGAATTTGCCAATTGAACAAATGGATTGCTTTTCTGAAAGATATCAAAGCTTTCAGAAAATCACATTAAAACTGAAATATATGTGATACAATCGGGGTAACACCCAGAGATACATTGCAGCAGGCACAGAAGACAGTAAAGTCAAATACACAGATGAGACCGCCCCAACGGGAAGCACTCATGTATGTATTGTAAATCAAGTTGCTCCTATTTGAAGCAATCGAATTGTGGTTTCTTTTGAAAGTATTGGATGTTGTCCAAACTGTTTAACGTTTAATACATTGTAAACAAATATATAGTATCTTTAGTTGCTTGAATTACCCAAAATCACCCCAACAAATAGTACTTACCATTCAGGAAGGTCAGAGCCATTGATAGGATATCAACTGTGACAATAAGACAGAGAGGTGGTCTTCTTCTTTGCATCTTCTCCTGCCATGTTTACCACAACAAATATAATCACTGCATGCCTGCTATCCTAGAAGTTGTCCACTGAGAGTTTACCAGTGACCACTTTTTCATTCTGAGGGGCCTGAGTCAAGTGATGTTCATTTCAATGCTTGGAGTCTGATCATAACTTGAGATGATTCACAGTCCAACCCACAGAAGCCAATGTGACAATAGAAGTGATGATGGCAGATCACTCCATGTGAATGAACCAGGTGATTCACACGTTGACAGGCAGTTATCACTCTAGATTGAGAGTAGGTACACAGCCAAATGATGCTCTCACTGATGTATTAAAAGGTATTGCTCTAAGAGATTTCAACACATGTTTCACTAAAGATATGTGCAAGAATTTGAATAAATATGTGTAAAGAGAAACACTTTAGTTAGTATGTGATTATAGTTTCACACTCCACATTCGTGGTGTCCAAATTCACTGAAAGTTGCCCCAGCTTGTTAGCACTTACTTCAAAACTGCAGTAAATGTGCTACAATTAGGGTGACTTTCAGCAGAGAAACATTGCAGGACTCACACAAAGTAAGTAATGTCAAATACACAGATGAGACTGCCCCAAAGAGTATCAGTTATTGATGAAATCAGTGCTTCTATTTCAAGTAATCTAATTGTGCTTTATTTGGAAAGTATTAGCTATACCCGAGCATGGTCGACGACGCTCTAAGGCGCTGCGTTCAGGTAGCAGTCTCCCCTGGAGGCTTGGGATCAAAACCCACTTCTGCCATTTGGTTCCTTTGCTGCACCTCTGTTGAGTCTGTTTCTGAGAGCTTGTTAAAAGAAATGCATAGCTTTTTGGCAAATCTGCATAGCTTTCAGACAGTTAGTCAGGATTGCCGAGCGGTCTAAGGCGCTGCGTTAAGGTCGTGGTCTCCTCTGGAGGCATGGGTTCAAATCCCACTTCTGATATGCACTTTGTTGAGGGTCACTAAGACCAATCATAATGTAGTCCCTCTTTGCATGCTAAGATATTTAAATAGATCACCTGAAAGTTCCCTGCATATTGTAGATGCTTACAAACATATTGAAGCTTCCTTTTGCCACACTGTGGTTAATAAATGTTCATTGCTGCCAATTCTAGGCTTCAAATGATAGCACAGGCTTGATTTCATGGCACTGTGCGTAGACGGTTGCCAAGGGAACCAACTCCGCTGCTTTGTTGTGGTGTTGCCGAAATACCGGAGCAGGGTCCCTAAGTGAAGCCGATACATTTCTGAAACAAAGTGCATGGAAAGACTTTTATGTAGTTGTGGCCGAGTGGTTAAGGCGATGGACTTGAAATCCATTGGGGTCTCCCCGCGCAGGTTCAAATCCTGCCAACTACGTCTGGAGTTTGGTTTGCAGTTCAGGCAGGCCAGTACAGGGAATAGCAATGGTGACAATCTTCCTCAATGAAACTTCATGTGCATTAATTGCTGTTCACAGTTGTTACATACCTGCATGAGAATTTGCCAATGGAATGCTTTTCATTCTGAGTAACCTGAATTTTCATATTTCATATTATTGCTGTTGCTGAAAGATATCAAAGCTTTCAGAAAATCACATTAAAACTGAAATATATGTGATACAATCGGGGTAACACCCAGAGATACATTGCAGCAGTCACAGAAGACAGTAAAGTCAAATACACAGATGAGACCGCCCCAACGGGAAGCACTCATGTATGTATTGTAAAGCAAGTTGCTCCTATTTGAAGCAATCGAATTGTGGTTTCTTTTGAAAGTATTGGATGTTGTCCAAACTGTTTAACGTTTAATACATTGTAAACAAATATATAGTATCTTTAGTTGCTTGAATCACCCAAAATCACCCCAACAAATAGTACTTACCATTCAGGAAGGTCAGAGCCATTGATAGGATATCAACTGTGACAATAAGACAGAGAGGTGGTCTTCTTCTTTGCATCTTCTCCTGCCATGTTTACCACAACAAATATAATCACTGCATGCCTGCTATCCTAGAAGTTGTCCACTGAGAGTTTACCAGTGACCACTTTTTCATTCTGAGGGGCCTGAGTCAAGTGCTGTTCATTTCAAAGCTTGGAGTCTGATCATAACTTGAGATGATTCACAGTCCAACCCACAGAAGCCAATGTGACAATAGAAGTGATGATGGCAGATCACTCCATGTGAATGAACCAGGTGATTCACACGTTGACAGGCAGTTATCACTCTAGATTGAGAGTAGGTACACAGCCAAATGATGCTCTCACTGATGTATTAAAAGATATTGCTCTAAGAGATTTCAACACATGTTTCACTAAAGATATGTGCAAGAATTTGAATAAATATGTGTAAAGAGAAACACTTTAGTTAGAATCTCGACTACAATGAATGTGATTATAGTTTCACACTCCACATTCGTGGTGTCCAAATTCACTGAAAGTTGCCCCAGCTTGTTAGCACTTACTTCAAAACTGCAGTAAATGTGCTACAATTAGGGTGACTTTCAGCAGAGAAACATTGCAGGACTCACACAAAGTAAGTAATGTCAAATACACAGATGAGACTGCCCCAAAGAGTAGCAGTTATTGACGAAATCAGTGCTTCTATTTCAAGTAATCTAATTGTGCTTTATTTATGTACAGGGAATAGCAATGGTGACAATCTTCCTCAATGAAACTTCATGTGCATTAATTGCTGTTCACAGTTGTTACATACCTGCATGAGAATTTGCCAATTGAACAAATGGAATGCTTTTCATTCTGAGTAACCTGAATTTTCATATTTCATATTATTGCTGTTGCTGAAAGATATCAAAGCTTTCAGAAAATCACATTAAAACTGAAATATATGTGATACAATCGGGGTAACACCCAGAGATACATTGCAGCAGTCACAGAAGACAGTAAAGTCAAATACACAGATGAGACCGCCCCAACGGGAAGCACTCATGTATGTATTGTAAAGCAAGTTGCTCCTATTTGAAGCAATCGAATTGTGGTTTCTTTTGAAAGTATTGGATGTTGTCCAAACTGTTTAACGTTTAATACATTGTAAACAAATATATAGTATCTTTAGTTGCTTGAATCACCCAAAATCACCCCAACAAATAGTACTTACCATTCAGGAAGGTCAGAGCCATTGATAGGATATCAACTGTGACAATAAGACAGAGAGGTGGTCTTCTTCTTTGCATCTTCTCCTGCCATGTTTACCACAACAAATATAATCACTGCATGCCTGCTATCCTAGAAGTTGTCCACTGAGAGTTTACCAGTGACCACTTTTTCATTCTGAGGGGCCTGAGTCAAGTGATGTTCATTTCAATGCTTGGAGTCTGATCATAACTTGAGATGATTCACAGTCCAACCCACAGAAGCCAATGTGACAATAGAAGTGATGATGGCAGATCACTCCATGTGAATGAACCAGGTGATTCACACGTTGACAGGCAGTTATCACTCTAGATTGAGAGTAGGTACACAGCCAAATGATGCTCTCACTGATGTATTAAAAGATATTGCTCTAAGAGATTTCAACACATGTTTCACTAAAGATATGTGCAAAAATTTGAATAAATATGTGTAAAGAGAAACACTTTAGTTAGAATCTCGACTACAATGAATGTGATTATAGTTTCACACTCCACATTCGTGGTGTCCAAATTCACTGAAAGTTGACCCAGCTTGTTAGCACTTACTTCAAAACTGCAGTAAATGTGCTACAATTAGGGTGACTTTCAGCAGAGAAACATTGCAGGACTCACACAAAGTAAGTAATGTCAAATACACAGATGAGACTGCCCCAAAGAGTAGCAGTTATTGACGAAATCAGTGCTTCTATTTCAAGTAATCTAATTGTGCTTTATTTATGTACAGGGAATAGCAATGGTGACAATCTTCCTCAATGAAACTTCATGTGCATTAATTGCTGTTCACAGTTGTTACATACCTGCATGAGAATTTGCCAATTGAACAAATGGAATGCTTTTCATTCTGAGTAACCTGAATTTTCATATTTCATATTATTGCTGTTGCTGAAAGATATCAAAGCTTTCAGAAAATCACATTAAAACTGAAATATATGTGATACAATCGGGGTAACACCCAGAGATACATTGCAGCAGTCACAGAAGACAGTAAAGTCAAATACACAGATGAGACCGCCCCAACGGGAAGCACTCATGTATGTATTGTAAAGCAAGTTGCTCCTATTTGAAGCAATCGAATTGTGGTTTCTTTTGAAAGTATTGGATGTTGTCCAAACTGTTTAACGTTTAATACATTGTAAACAAATATATAGTATCTTATAGTATCAAATATATAGTATCACCCAAAATGCATAGCTTTCAGACAGTTAGTCAGGATGGCCGAGCGGTCTAAGGCGCTGCGTTAAGGTCGCAGTCTCCTCTGGAGGCGTGGGTTAAAATCCCACTTCTGACATGCACTTTGTTGAGGGTCACTAAGACCAATCATAATGT